TGGTTTTGGTTTTGGTTTTGGTTTTGGTTTTGGTTTTGGTTTTGGTTTTGGTTTTGGTTTTGGTTTTACTGCGGTTTGAGATTGGCTAAGTAGTGTAAAGGGCAAGTAATTGGTTTGGTTTTGGTTTCACGACACTCAATTGAAAACCACTCGATACGATTAGTCATTTATTATATGACTGAGAAAATTACGAACGCGTGCGCGTTAATTTACACTGCAATGCCAATTAAATATTAACGATAAATTTGCCTGCTCTCAGCCAATCACAATGAAGTAGTTTTCTCATTCCTATAATAAAACGTAATCAAGAATTTGATTAATCTACTACATGGTGTTAACTGTTTTAACTAAGACATGGTTTTTATCTGTTGTTCTTCAAGAAAAGGCTCCTTTAAGCAGCCTCAGATGGCTGCACAAATTAGTGTTTCATGTAATATATCAAACACGAGAGACGCTGTTTCATGTTGTAATACATGCTTTGTATATTTCTTCTTTAGAATTGCCTCTTAGGGGAATGTTCTTCTGGAAGCTTAGCTCTTCCTTTTGACTCATCTGGAATTGAACCTCAACATTTAATGGTAAGGTCGTATGTCTCTTGAAAAATTACCCTACAGACTTGCATGTCCCTTGAAAAATTACTACATGGGCAGATTTATCTGAAATTGATAGGACTTTAAGACGAAATCCGATAGGAAATCGAGTAATTTCAACTTTTAGTGGACAAAAACTTGTACCAGAATAATGTTAAGTATAGCACAGTCCTTTTTGCATTTTCTAAAAGCTAAAGATATAAATATTTGCCTGAAATAACACCAAAGACAATTTCCCATGGGAAGTCAAGGAAATAAATTTCAAAGTTCAGAGAAATTGTGCGAATAAAGGTAAAATTTCATCATCTCACCAGTATTTTCAAGTGTTTCATATGAACTGCAACAGTTGTTTTGGACTTCTGGTGTTGTTAGAAATGAATTCTTTTGGGAGGATATTTAAAACAGTCGGATAGAAGTTTGCAATAGAGTGTAAATAATGTTGGTACAACGTTTTTGTGCGCTCGTACTCGAACGTCTGATGGATTCCCTCTTAAACATCCATTTCGTTGTCAGGGCCCCAAACTAAGACTAGCTAAATTGTTGCGTTACCGGGGCAGGACCTATCTCGATTCTTGAAATTTGCCTGCATTCAAACCGATTCTGGATTCTGGATGGACGCTCACACAATTTCTTTAATTTTATTTTCACAGACCCTTCTTGTTTCTGGTTGGCTATTAGATCCGGACCTGTGTTACGATAAAGTAGATTCCATGTTTCATCTTCACTCTCTCA